GTCATTCAGGTAAATGCTTGCTTATAGCAAAGTAATTCTTTGCTATAAGCAAATTGTGTAAAAAAAAAAAAATATTGATCACTTCCCCAAAGTAGTACAATGGTACTATGGTAACATTGTACTACTTTGGTCATAGTGAAATTAGTGAAATATGAAAAAAAAATCTTAAAAAAAAGAAAAAAAATGTAATAAAAAAAAATAATAAAAAAATAAAAAATATATATATATGTATATATTTTTTTCATACTGTCACCAGTCAGTGTCCCTGATCGCCGCCATGCCAGTTATATGATGACGCTGTACTGCACTGGTGACAATATGTAAAAAAAAAATAGTGAAACTAATTTTTTTCGTTTTTTTTTTCATTTTCCGAAAAATTATGACAAAAAAAATACGACTTAAAAAAACTCGCCATGCCTCTTATGAAGTATGTCGGACTATCTACTTTGCAAAAAGGGGTCATTTGGGGGATATCTGTACTGTTCTGACATTCTTGGACCTCAAGAAATTAGATTGGCCGTCAGTACTTCAGGATTGATCAATTTTCAGATCTATCCCATAGTTTGTGAACTCTATAACTTTCCTACAAACTAAAAAATACATCCTAATTTGGGTTATTTTCACCAAAGACATGTAGCAGAATACATCTCGGCCTAAATTTATGAAGAACAAATATTTATTTGAAAACTTTTATAACAGAAACAAAGAAAAACTTTTTATTTTTCAAAATTTTTGGTCTTTTTTTGTTAATTTAGCAAAAAATAAAAACCCCAGTGGTGATTAAATACCACCAAAAGAAAGCTCTAGTTGTGTGAAGAAAATGATAACATTTTAGTTTGGGTACAATGTTGTATGACCGCGCAATTGTCATTCAAAGTGTGAGAGCGCTGAAACCTGAAAACTGGCCTGGGCAGGAAGGTGCAAAATTGCCCGGTATTGAATTGGTTAATAAAATTTTTATTTTTTTAATCGATGTATGTTTGTTTTGTCTTTGAATAATTATGCATCTATAAAGTCCCTTTAGTATTTTTCATCTGCTTGGGCAGACATTCATTGGGTTGATTTACTAAAGGCAAATAGACTGTGCACCTTTGCAAGCATGATTGAACTCTGCAAGTGCAGTTGCTCCAGAGCTTAGTAAATAAGGGGAAGCTTTATTGAATTTCATCATCCAATCGCGTGCAAACAAAAATGATTTTTTTTAAAATTTTCCTTGCTTGCATGTAACTGGACATTCACTGCAAAGCAAACTTCATTTCATTTACTAAGCACCTGCACTTGCGAAGTGCACAGTCTATTTGCCTTTAGTAAATCAACCCCATTATCTGTTTGTGAATTTTGGGTGCTGGGTAGTCCCTCATCGGACCCATGGCATTACTTGATACTATTCTTGTACTTATCGTAACAAATTGCATTTAACGGTATACTAAACAGACCACAAGGGAGTAATTAAGAAACCTTCACTGTTAGGATTTACATACCCTTTCATTTTTTTAAAGCTGTAAGTTTTTATTTTTAAATCACTGTCTATAAGCTAGATATTCCAAACAGGCAATAACAATGTAGTAATCAGGGATATTCAGGACAAAGGTTATCACCTATGTCACCTATATATGTGTTTAGGAATGACTGATACATGTTAGAGTTTCCACACCATTCCAGGGGCGGACTGACAACTCATGGGGGGTCCCCCGGGCAAGTAGGGGATCATGGGGCCCCTGTGTCCTTGCCCAAACTCAAAAAAGCCTATGAAAAAGGTACCAGGAGCATCTCATGGGGACCCCTACTGACCCCGGGCCCTCGGGCAGTGCCTGAGTTTCCAAATGGTCAGTCCGCCCCTGCACCATTCCACAAGACTTAGGATGCCATATATATGGTGGGTGTTAAAAAATGAAAATGAGTATTGAGTGGTTGCTGATCTTTCTTTCAGTTTCCTATAAATATGGTCATGAGTTTGACATTGTAACATGGCACCACTTACTAGATTTGTTACATACTGCATTCTTTGAGCCTATCCCATAAATATACAAAACACAATTATTTGTATTATATGCAATGAATAAATTCTAAAAGCACCATCTAATATGGCACCAGTTTTCATATCCGTGTGCCCATTCCTGTGCCACTTACATTAGTGCTTGTAGACCATGGCAGTTGCCCAGAGCAGACTCCCTATGGCTCTGTTCACGCTAGTGTGCAGTACAGTGCAGTTCAGATGCGATGCACAGAATCACATGACAATGGAAATCACATTGTTTAAATGGTGACCATTCATATCAATGCAACTCAGCACAGCACGATTTTGGAAAAGGTTGCGGTGCTACTTTGATGCAATTCCATCACGATTTTGGCCCCATAGAGTATGCAAACCACTTCAAAGTAGTATCTAAGTTGCATTTAAGTTGCACTACATAATCAGATTGCAGCAATGGTAACCTATCCTACTACAGCATTCTAACAGAGATCTCTTCTAACAGACTCTTACTACCATTTGTAGTAACATACGTCTTTTTAACATACCAAGGTTGTATGATCGAATGGTCTCCAATAGGGCAGACTCTGTAATAATCTCTTTTGAAATTCCTCCAGAATCATTAGTACCCTCAATACCCCATTCATAACCACCCAAATTCTCCACCTGCAGACTGATCACCTTGGCCATCCTGCTGTTCTTTATAGTGATGAGTATATCTGAACCCAACATGGTTTCTTACCAGTTCATGAGCTTCCACCAATTGCCACTCTTAGACTTTCGAGCATCCCCATCTTATAACTAAGAAGCCCCAGTATTTTCCAACTAATGTCACCTTAATGTGTTGTGACGTAGTGCCAGGTGGTAAGCTGTAACATGGAAAAGTGCCATATTCAAACGTGATGTATCATGTTTAGTTTTACTATCGTTCATGTGTTTTTAGCTTGATGATTTAAATATGGGGGGTTTTTTTTACATTTACGGGCACAATTTAAATTTTCCGATCATGATCAAACAATATATATTTATATATATTTTTTTTTTAAACTGTAGTCAACACAGTGACATATAAACACTTAATACGCGCACATATTTGTTAGTTCAATTATATGGAAGAAGAACTTCAAAAGGAAGACAAGGTCTCAACAGGCAGTCATGTAATATAAAATATTTGCAAAATCATGATGTACAGCAAGTTTTGACGGTAGATCTATCGCTCCAGCTGCCCAACCTCCTGGGATGGCTTTAATCATGTGAGCTCATTTATGTAAATAGCTAATTCCTATCCAAGCCTATTACGGATTTTCAAAAATGGCTTTTTAAACCACAAAGACAGAGGGAATATGTGATTAAAGCTTCTATAACTATGGTGCATTTTTTATTTTAATTACCATGTGTTGCTATAATATAGAATATTTATTTCTCTAGTGTGGGAATTAATATCCAACTAAACCCAAGTATTCCTAAACTCTCAGGGGGTTCTGCAACAGGGCAGATATCTATATGAAAGATCAAATAGGCCTAGGTAGTTTGCAATACAAAAGAACAGAGGGTGCACCAGCCAATTGCATTACCTCAATGATAACTTTATTATTGTAAAAGAAACAGATGAATACATACAAGTCCCAAGTGCGGATATGCAATCCAAAAGGCTGACACGTTTTGAAGGGAAATCCCCTCTGCCTCAGAGCCACTGGCTCTAAGGCTCAGAGGTAGAAGGGATATCCTCTCGAAATGCGTCAGCCTTTTGGATCTCCTATTTACGCTTGGAACTTGTTCAGGAGACGAGGCTGCTCCAAGTATACTGTGGATTGATGTGCAATTATTCTGATGGTACTTGTGGAGTATACATATGTTTCTTTTACAATAATAAAGTTCAGGTAATGCGTTAGGCTGGTGCGCCCTCTGTTCCTTGTGTTTTGCAGCTATCTCTCTGGGTTCCCCAGACCCGCTGGAGGGCAGCAAAGCCGATGTCACAATTGGAACATCTGAAGTCACCAAATCAATCATCTGGTTACACATGTGCCAACAAACTTTTCTTGAGCGCAGGAGATTGTTTTCTTTTAGGCCTAGGTATGTTGACAGAACCCACAGGCTCATACCTAAACGATACATTTGCTCTGGCTTAGATTGGATGGGAGGTCAAAGAGTTTTATTAAACCAGAGATCTCCAAGCTTTCTAAACAATAAGTCATTTTACTGCCCTTCAGAATTTAGGAGGACTGGACTGTATCCAGTGGAAGTAGAAAATGCCCCAGCATCAATGGAAGTAAGCAATGCCTCAGCTTTGGTGGTCAGTGGGAGTAAAAAAAAATACATAGTACCTGTGGTCACTAGGAGGAGGATCAGTGCCCATCATTTGTAATAGTGAAAGGCTTAATGTACCATCGTTGGTTTTATTGGAAGGAATACTGCCCCATCATTGGTGTCAGTGGGAGGAATAGTGCCTAGTTGTTGGCGTCATTGGGAAGAATAGTGACCTGCCATTGGTGTCATTGGTATGAACAGTGCCTTTGTTGCTAATAGGAGGAATTATGCCCCACTGTTAGTATCAGTGGAAGCAATAGTGCCTCATCATTGGTGTCAGTGATGGGAATAGTGCTTCATATCAGTCTGAGGAATAGTGCACCACGGGCCAAATAAAGGCAAACAAAGGTTTTGCACTGGATTAAACTTGCAGTGTAAATTTTTGATGATCTTTGTATAGTTTTGGGCTTAGTTTTTTTTTAGGGCTATACAACATGGTTGCTAATGCAAATTTAAACATTATTCAAAGAGTTCTGGAATGTGTAACTTGTAATTAATACCCCTCCTCTCTTTGTTTCTTTGAGCAAGTAGCCATTTCATGGAGCCTATGGGGTTTGATTTACTAAAGGCAAATAGACTGTTCACTTTACAAGTGAAATTGCTCTGTATAAGGGAATTTTCCTCAGGGTTTAGTGAATGAGGTGAAGCTCTGTTGACTTACATAATCCAATCATGCGCAAGCAAAAATACAGTTTTTTTTTTTCCTTGTTTTGGTATTTTTTGTAAAGTGAAATTCCATTACATTTATTAAGCTCTGGGGTAAAATTCCTTGCACTGCACAGCTTCCCTTGCAAAGTAAATTGCCCACTTGCCTTTGGTAACTCAATCTTGATGTGAAATTATCAGCTTTAAAGTGTAAGTTTGGGACAGAGTAGAGAGCAAGGGGCGGACTGACCATTTGAGCACTCGAGCACTGTCCGAGGGCCAGGGGTCAGTAGGGGGCCCCATGAAATGCCCCTGGTACCTTTTTTATAGGCTTTTTTGAGCGTGGACAAGGACACAGGGGCCCCATGATCCCCTATTGCCCGGGGGCCCCATGAGTTGTCAGTCTGCCCCTGGTAGAGAGGGATTAGAACACCTGTTAGGTCTTCATTGCTGTCTGTTAGGGAAATTTACTTTCTATGTTCTGTTTACCATTATAATTGAATGTAAAAGTAAAATATAGTCCCACATTTTGGGCTGTTCCCAGAAAAGGAAAAGATGGGAAATCTGCCAATGGGGGACACTGCATCTGGTGGCCTAGAGAGCCCCAGTGGATTCCCTTAACTTACAGAGATTCCCTGTTTTGGCTATGGGACAGAAAGTGAAGGTAAATCTCTTCAATGGGACACATATGGGAAATAAACCTGATAGGGGTGCAATACTACCCCTCAGGGGTTGCTGGATTTTGAACTAGGTCACCCTATGGTCTGTACAGCCAGGCAACACTCATTCCCCACACTTTGCACACTGGAGTCAAAGAACAGTCCTTGAGCTTGGTTTTGTGATTTTATTAAGGGGCTAAAAACTTGGATGGGGTCTAGGGGTATATGGGATGCCTGAGTAACTGCTTAACTTGAGGAAAACTCCTTAGCAACGATGTACAAATATGCAGACAGCAGCAGTCTCTTCTTTGAGAGCACTAAAGGCTCCTAGGTGTACCTCCTCAGACCCCGAATAATTCCTCCTCTTCACCGAGCTGCCTGGGGGTATTCCTGAACAAGGGGGCACAAGAGCTGCCAACTGAGCAGCCCCAGATGAGAACCAGTTGGGTATTACACCTGACTGCCCACTTCTTAACTGGCCCAGAGGGTGTAGGAGTAGTAACACTGTCCTCTCCTGTTCACTTAGTGGGTTGGTGGCTGCCTTCAGGCCTTATGCTGGGCTGGCTCCTTCCCTGCTGCTACTCAGCCTCTGTCTAACAAAAAACCCTATCTAACTAACTTGGAGGGTGTTACAGTGGTTATAACCTTCCATTACTCTGTTCAAATTGAAAAAAAAAAGTTTTGCATATAATTCTACTTTAATATTGCCAAATGTAATGTTGGAAGTTCTAAAGAACCTTATAAACAGACCATTTGATTATTGATTACTATTCATACAGCCTTGGTGTGCCTATTATCAACAATACTTTCCTTACATATTGCTAAAATATATTTTCCAGGCTCCGAGCACCATTGTCCTCTGGATATTATTTATTTTATGTGACAGAGGAGTAAAATATATTTTTGACAGCCTGCAATCCTTGTGTTGATACTGTGACTTTGGCATTATTCACACTCGGCTGCCCCTACAGCAGGCTTACAATGAGGAGGCTAAATCCAGTCTTTATGTGCTTATGGTTTCCTGCTTGCTCCACACATTCTAATTAGGCAAACCTATATAGAGACTTTTACATCAGCTAGGACAGGAAATATGCATTGATTCTGCTGTGATTATATTTCTAATCCATAACATATTTCAGTAGATTGGCACATAAGCAAGTTCTTGTGCATAAAATTATATTAACCCTTTGGGGTCTATTTATGAGACATTTGTTGGACAAATGTAACACACATTCATCCAGGGTGGTTGAATTCGCCACATATTTTTCTGTAATAAGTCAGTTTTTTATGATTGTCAGCTTCATCTAATGGCCAAAATGTGATATAGTTTTCTGAAATTCCTCAATGAGAAAATATACAACATTTTAGCCACTAGATAGAGCTGATGATCATGGGAAATAATCTATTATGGAATATACAGGTAAAATCTGTTCAGCTTGTATGAATGTGTCTGATGTTAATCCAAAACATTTTTTTAACAGACCCCTTTGTATTGTTTATACCAATGCCAAGTATGGCCCTAGAATTTCCCACTTTCCTCTACCTTTGACTCTGTCAGTCTCCCTATAGGGGAAGTGTCTGATGAAATAACACTGAATGATTGGATGCAAGAAAGGGATGACCTGGTACTGAAGAAACTGGTTATTGAAAGTCAGCAACGGCTGAGCCTTTAGGAAGTCAGCAGTCAAAATGTTGCAAAACCCCAAGCAAAAACCCACATAGTCATATCTTCAGGTTGTTTTTAGGGTTGTGTAAGTTTGCTAGTCTCTATATCAGGCATCACTAAATGGCGGATCGGGGTCCGGATGTGCGGACCGAGTCACTGTCCCATCTGGTCCCGCCATTTAGGAGCCTTTTCTTCCCCTAGCCGTCTCGCGGTCATCCTCACAGAGATGACAGAGGGAGGCAGGAAAGTTCTAGATGGAGGTCAGGAGCTGCCCGAGGTAAACAAGCAGGTGATTGATTGGTAGGATGAAGAGCAGTCCTAGGAATCAATCACTGCCTGTCAATCACTGGCTGTGTAAGGTAGGACAGTGGGGGGGGGGGGGGGGTGAAGTTAAAGGGACTAAGGGCATTCATGTGAAGGGGGGCTGGTGTGAAAAGGGGCCAAGGACTGAATGTGGGGGGGTCTGAGGACTGAATGTGGGGGGACTTAGAACAGTAATGTTGGGGGGGGGGGGGGGCTGAGAACAGTAATGTTCAAATGTAACACACATTCATCCAGGGTGGTTGAATTCTCCACATATTTTTCTGTAATAAGTCAGTTTTTATGATTGTCAGCTTCATCTAATGGCCAAAATGTAATATAGATTTCTGAAATTCCTCAATGAGAAAATATACAACATTTTAGCCACTAGATAGAGCTGATGATCATGGGAAATAATCTATTACGGAATATACAGGTAAAATCTGATCAGCTTGTATGAATGTGTCTGATGTTAATCCAAAACATTTTTTTAACAGACCCCTTTGTATTGCTTATAACAATGCCAAGTATGTCCCTAGAATTTCCCACTTTCCTCTACCTTTGACTCTCTGTCAGTCTCCCTGTAGGGTTGAAGACATTAAAGTTAAAGTGGAGGAGCTGAGGCCTGAAATGTGAGGGGCTAGAGGCTGTGATATGGGGGAGCTGACAGCATTAAAATGGGGGGGGATACTGAGGACAGTGATGTAGGGGCTAAGGGCTGTGGTATGTGGAGGCTGAGGGGACTGAGGACAGTAGTGTGGGAGGGTTGAAGACATTAAAGTTAAAGTGGAGGAGCTGAGGCCTGAAATGTGAGGGGCTAGAGGCTGTGATATGGGGGAGCTGCAGCATTAAAATGGGGGGGGACGCTGAGGACAGTGATGTAGGGGCTAAGGACTGTGGTATGTGGAGGCTGAGGGGACTGAGGACAGTAGTGTGGGAGGGTTGAAGACATTAAAGTTAAAGTGGAGGAGCTGAGGCCTGAAATGTGAGGGGCTAGAGGCTGTGATATGGGGGAGCTGACAGCATTAAAATGGGGGGACGCTGAGCACAGTGATGTAGGGGCTAAGGACTGTGGTATGTGGAGGCGGAGGACATTAAAGTGGGGGGTGAGAACTGTAATGTGGATTGGTTGAGGACAGTAACATGGAGGGGGGCAGAGGACAGTAATGCCTACATGAGATTCTGACCTCTGATGCATGAAAATGTTACTGCCTGGACCTCGGTGAATTTTAATTCAATACCCCTGCTCTATTTTATACTTTTCTTTCTTGGAAACATATTTAAGAAAATATTTTCCTTTCTCCTTTATATCACTAGTGGGTAGACTCCAGATATATGTATCCAAGGTCCATCGATCTGCTCAATATGCTGAGAGCAGACACACATCTCTGTTTTAGTGATTCTGTAAGCAGAGTGCCAGGGTGGGATGGATTATTGCTGAAATTACCACTAACGGTGTGGTTTTTGAGAAGGAATGCATATTGTTTCTGTATATAGTTTTTTACTTTTTTTTGTATCATGCTCAAGGCTAAAAAAAATGTTAAAAATATGTTTTTTATTAGTCAGGTAACTAAAACACTTCAAATAAATATTTTGTTTGTTTTTTCAGTATCTCCAGCAGGTGGAGCTTTATGCTCCTTTCCATGTGTTTTCCAAGCTAGCTATATCTGCTTTGCTGAAAAAGGTCTGCTTATTAACAGAGTCTAATAGCTCAAGTTAAAATTTAGCACAGTAATTAATCCCCTTTCCACTCCTCCCCAGCTGCTGTTTAAGACATCTTCATAGTATGTTTCAGAGAGCCTGAAAGCAAACAGTAACTTTTGGATGATGTAGGATACCCACACATACCAGTCCTGGAGAGAAGAGGACCGGACAGACAGCTATTGCTTTTTTGGGAATGCCCTGAGATTAGCTTTAAAAAAAGAAAAAAAGATCTAAAATGAAATTTATCAAATACCATTAGTTTTTCTTCACGGAAGGTGCACCAGATTTCTGTACTAATGAGCTGAACATTCCTTTCACATTGATTCTACATATTTATATGCAATAATCTATAAATTTATAATGCTCCTTTACTGTAACGACCATGGTGAGGGCAATCAAGACTCGGCAGAGGTTTGTGTTGCATGTTGGGACATTCCTGTCAGCAACATCCTCTAAAAAAGATGCACAGTGTCAGTAAATTGGATGTTCCTGTTTACGTTAATACTCATAAATATTTATACCTACCTACATAACTGAATCAATGTGCAGGAAACACATTGTACAAAGGTAACAACTGTGCTATGGCTATCCAGACATGCCTTGGAATCATAAATGTGCCCTCAATCCCAAATGACTACTTGCTATTTTGAGAAATATGCAATTTAATCAATTATATGCAATATGCAATTTAGTCTATAATTATAGACAACAATAGAATTATTAATGAATGGAAATATGTTCACTGTAGGAATAAGCAAATGTTCCAAGTACGGTCTTGACTTTATATACGCAAGCAAACTGTATTAATTTTATTGTTGGGTACAAATATGTCCTAATTGCAAGGACACAATGGTAGAATAAAAAAGGCTCAATCTGAGCTACTGGCTTTTGCAATTGTTTGCAGCTAAGAAGGTCGACAATACCGATTTGTCATATTTTAAAATTGATTGTGATGTAATACTGTTTGTTTCTGAGTGGGATGTCTGCTTCAAAAGGTGAGCA